GTGCCACTTGTCCCTCACCATGGTTCTGTGGAGCCTAGTGCCACTTGTCCCTCACCATGGTTCTGTGGAGCCTAGTGCCACTTGTCCCTCACCATGGTTCTGTGGAGCCTAGTGCCAGTTCACTTGACTTGCCTGCCTTAGGCCATGTAGTACCTCAGAAAATATATGAAGCTTTTTGCATACTGTAGGGTGGTGTTGTGTGGCTCAGCAAGCTAAGGCTACATCTACACTGCTATCATTTCGTTTAAAAACGGTTTCAAATTGGAACCTCTAAATTGAAATCTCCATCCATAAACTCATAACCACCTGTCATATTTTTTCTAATCATGATGACCCAATTGTTTTACTAATAGTTATGGAGCATATGACAGGTATAATGATAAATGAGGCCAACGACAGACTCATACCTTGATGAAATTTGTTTAAAAATAGTGTATCATAACTGTTAATTATGCAAGACAAGAAGTGTTTAGGCTATATCATGATAGTCACGATTTTCAAATGGATGGCGATATGCATGTTCATAATCACAATATATTTTATCAATATATCGCCCAACCCTAATTTATACCATACGGCACATTATGTCTTGTTATGCTGGTTAAGTAAGTACCTGGAAGGGGTTTCTTTGAGGGGATTTGTGGGTAGGGGAGCTATCAGTTGGTGGCAGTGTACAGGAGCGAATATGGAGCTTGTTGTGAAACTGGCAGTAGTGGTAATTATTTGGATTAAACCTGAATTTTGTCTTTCCCTGCCAGTCAGTGGTCACGATTTGTGACTATTTCTGTGTACACTTCCAAATGTCTCTTTCCAGTCTGGAGATCTTTCATCTCTACCCCAGCCTTATGTTGTTCCTCCTGGACTCCTCACAGATCGGCGACCTTACCCAGGACCTGTGCTCCTGCCAGGCTGAGAAGGAGGCGCTGGTGGCTGCGTGGGAGGCCAGCGACGCCAGGGTGCAGAAGCTGATCGAGGATCTGCAGCAGGCCCAGGATGGGCTGGAGCGTGCAGTGGGCACAGAGGCCGAGCTTGAAACACTTCGTGCTGATGCACAGCACTGGGTCCAGGAGAAGGAGCAGCTCCTTGAATCAGTGGAGACCCTCAAGCAGGAGGTTAGTGGTGGTGCTTGTAGCTTAATCTAAAGCATTTCAGGTAATGTATGTTACACCAACAGGAGCCTCCGGTAACCAGGACTAATGGCATGTGGTAACAGTTTATCGGCTGGACCACCTGCCATACCAAAGGTGGCAATAGTGCACAACCTAGATGATGCTGGTCAGGCCACTGCAGCGAAGCATATTTGACTATTAGGGAGGCACTAATCCCACTTTTTCTGTGCTGATACCGATACCGATACCTGAGCTTTGGGTATTGGCTGATACTGAGTACCAATCCAATACCAGTGTTTATTAATAAGCTGTAGGCTTTGCCTCACTGTGGAAGAGACTGGGATCATTATTTTGTGTGTAAGGGAACATCAGGCCTAACTTAAACAAAGCATATATATATGCTTTGTTTAAGTTATTTATATATATATAAAAATAATAATGATTCAGTACATTGACTCTCCCTGCCGGCCCCTGGAGGATGGGCTCCCCCTTTGAGTCTAGTCCCTCCCAAGGTTTCTTCCTTCTGGGGAGTTTTTCCTTGCCACTGTCGCCTATGGCTTACTCACTGGGGGCTTTGGGTGGGGATGCTGTAAAGCCCTTTGGGACAATGTAATGTTGTGATAATGCGCTATACAAAAATTAATTTGTTGTTGTATTTAGACCAGGGTTATTCAACTCACGGTCCTCGAGGTTCGAGTACTGCTGCTTTTCCAGCCTTCCTTTACCTGTCAGTCAGGTGTGAAGCCTCTGACCAATCAGAATCAGTAATTATTAAACAACTAGCTGGGGGAACTGAAAACACGGCCTGGATTTGGAATCGAGGTCCAGAGTTGAAGAACCCTGATTTAGACTGTATGTACAGTGGAAACCGCTTATAGTGATCACGTTTGTCTGGGTGATATTGATCAGTATAACCAGATGATCATTATAACAGTTTTTCTTTCTTTGTCTCGACAGATTACCATCTAATTAACATTTGTATATTTATTACATGACTATGGTAATAAAATGGACAGCGTTGCTATCTACTGAATTTTACTGACACTTTCAAAATACAGTATAGCTATTTCAAAGTATAGTAGTATTATACAAATATAATTATTGAAATGCATATAATTAAAATATGCCATAATACAGTCCAGTACTGTACATGTAGCTTACTGTAGTGTCACTGTTGCATTTCGTTGGCTTGTTTTTGGCAGTTTATCATAAGTTTGAGTCTATATTTGTCATTGAGATGATTTTGGATGATTTTGTCCCAAACTTTTTGAGTCATAAGTGGTTGATCACTATAACAGTGATCACACTAAGCGGTTTCCGCTGTATGTATTTAATTACCTTACTTAACTTTAGTTTTCAACTCAACCTATTTAATGTTAGACATAAATATCATTTTAGTTTCATTTTCTCTCGCTCCTCCATAATTTGCATTAAAGTTTGTTGTGGTCTTTCTCTGCTTGCATTAGGAAACTCTGTGTACTCTGCACTATGGAGTCGTTTGATCAAATTGCTTGTGTAAAGTGGTGGCTGTCCCTTCCATCCCTTGACAGAACAGACTTTAGAGTCTGACTAAATGTCATGGCTTTGAGTTTTAACGTAATGTTGCAATTAAGTGGTATCTGACTATTTTTATGAGTACGACCATCAGTATATAAGTGCAGTATCGGCCCAATATCAGTATCAGTGCATCCCTACAAATAATCGTAAAACAAACTAGTGTGAATGCTCGTCAGTCTTCAGATGCTTCTGTATTCCGGCTGTTCGAATGTGAATGTGTCCATCTGTGTGAATGGAAATCCAAGGTCAGTGTCTCCCTCTAACTGGCTGACCAGGTGCTGCAAAGGCAAGAGGGTGAAAGTTCACTGAAGCACAAACTAGCTGAACAGCAGCGGCTGGTGACGGACCTGCAAATGATTCTGGCTGAATCCCGAGAGACCACCAACCGAAACCAGCAGAGCTTCGAGCAGAAGTCCGAACAGCTCCAGAAAAAGGTGTGTCATTCGGGAACAGAGACTAACATTGTTATAGTGGAGTGATCAATATAAGGGTTTGAGAAATGACTGAATGCTGTGCTCAGGGTCACCAATTAGATGAGGAGCTGGAAGAATTGAAAGCAGAGAGGAGCCAGCTGAGGAGGGACCTTGAGGAAAATGCACAGCAGGTAATTCGACTAACTGAGCAGATTTTCATTTGGGTGAAAATGATATGCACACCTTTCCATTGGAAGATGCATTACCAGAATAAAAGCATTTCGGCCCAAATCTGATTTTTATTTTTTTCTTTCAAAAAAACTTCCACTTTCTCTCTCTCTCCTTATGGTGGGCCTTGATTGACTGTAGCTTTATATCTGTCTTTTATTATTTATTATTATTATTATTATTATTATAGATACTTTATTGATCCCCGTGGGGAAATTCTTTTACACCTCCCTCAACTTGCTCTTTTTTATATAGTAAACATTTATTTTTATATAAATGGTAAAGATTTTAACATTGGAATTGATTATTAAAATGAACATTCAGTTCAAATGAATCAATATTTCAATATTGATCTGCACATCCCTACTAGTCTGCCTTGTGTGTGTTATTTTTGCTGCTATTGTGGTTGCTTGTTTCTTCATTTTAATGTTTCATGTCTTGTACTATATTAAACTATTTACTATTTCCAGCTAAAAAAATCAGAACTGTTATCTCTGTTCCTGTAGTTATTTGGCTAAGTGATGTTGCTGCCATGTCTCCCTTAGTTTTGCATATCGTGAAGTACCATCTGAATCAGGCGTCGTAAACTTAAGGTTTCCTAGAATTGAATGTATCTGCCTTTTTTCTTTTCACTTGTTTACTCAAAAGAAATAAACTTGTCTCAGCTGCTAGTGCTTGTCACTAGTTTGGCAATTTCTTCAATCAGTTGAAAAATATTTGCATCAGGTTTGGCGTAAAAGTTGTTGATCCATCAAATTCACATTCGGGCATTTTGTAAACTTGTGTCATTTTTTTTATGTTGCATTCGATGTGAAATGGCCTTAAGGCAGGTGTCCTGTCTAAGCTGTGAAGTTTAGAGGGAAGATTTGAGTTACTCTGCGTTACCATAGATGCCTTGGAGTGAGATCTGTCGCTTTTCTGTAGGTACAACATCGAATTGAAGAGTTTGAGGAATTGAGATTTGAGAGAGATCAGCTGAAGAGTGATCTACAGGAAAATGTGGAGATGGTGAGCAGGAGACCCCACATGACAAGCACCCTTTAAATGAACTGAATACACGTGCCCTGTAGATACATGTGCCCTGTAGATACACCCTGACTCGTATCTACAGATGATTGAGAACCAGGAGGAGCTGAGGGTGGCTCAGGAGAAGATCAGAGACCAGCAGAAATGCATTCAGGACTTGGAGACTCGGACAGGAGAAATGAAGTCTCAGCTGATGCACAGCTTGCCTAATGTTGAAGACCTGAAGGGCCAGGTGATATTTCTGGGTGTAGAAGCATAGGATTTTTAAATAATT